CTTCCGTAGTGATACTGCCTCGGAAACCCAAGGAGGGGTCGCTATGAGTCGGGGCCGACTCGACGGCACATAACAACAACAACAACAACAATACCTGCAACAGGAGCTCTGGTAGCATAGTGCCTAAAGGCACTTGATTGCTAACCAGAATGCTGGCAATTTAAACCCACCAGCCACTCCTCTGAAGGAAGACCGAGAAATCTACTTCTGTAGTGATACTACCTCAGAAACCCAACGAGGGGTCGCTATGAGTTGGGTCCGACTTGGCGGCACATAACAACAACAAAAATACCTAGGACATCGGTCTTTATGCATTCGATTTCATGTTTGACAACTTCCAATTTTCCTAGATTCATACTTTGGACACTACATTGTCTGATTATTAATGAATATTTGTAGCTGTTTCTTCCCATTTTGTGTCTTGCTCCATCAGCGGATGAAGATTCTGAAAGCTTTACTCCATCCACATTATTAAGGTCAACTCTACTGTTAGGAGGCAGCTCTTTCCCAGTCATATTTTCAGTGCTTTCCAACATGAGAGGCTCATATTATGGCACTATATATTAATGTTTCACTGGTATTCATAAAGTTTTACTGATACTTTTAGATGAATTTCTACTATATTTATAACTATTTTCCACTGATTTCCCTTGTTTTTGTTTCTTTGTTTTCTACCTTCATTGGATTTACCCAATTCTTTTTATATTATTCCATTTCTCTCTTAGCATATCAATAACATTTTTTTTAAAGTTTGCCCTAGAGTTCTATATCTTATGTATTTTGCAGCTGTTACATAGTACTTACATATTTAAGATTATTATTTATTTCTCATTGACCTTTGTATTATTACATAACTACCATTTTTCTGTGATGATACTCTTTATCTTGAAATGTACTTTTATTCTGATATTAATAACTGCACCAGCTTTCTTATGCCAGTTAATGTTAAATATTTTATTTATTTTACTTTAAATATATCTGTATTTTTTTTTTTAAGTTTGTCTTTCATAGAGAGTATATAGTTGGTCTTTCTAGTCTACCTAGTAAGTCAATTTCATCCCTTCTTTGGAATATTTAGGCTATTTGTATTTACTATACTTATTGATATTGTTGTATTTAATATATGTATTGATACTGCTTATATAAAAACCAAAAACCAAACTCACTGCCATCAAGTCAGATCTTCCTTGGGTCTCTGAGGCAGTATCACTGCAGAAGTAGATTGCCCAATCTTTGCTTCTGAGGAGTGGCTGGTGGGTTTGAACTGCCGGCCTTCTAGTTAGCAGTTAAATGCCTTAGGAACCATGTCACCAGAGCCCCCTACTGCTTATATAAGAACACCACTTTTGTATTTGTCTCTCCTATTTTATTATTCTTCTCCCATCCCTCATTTACTTTTTTTTTTTTCTTTACTTATTTCCTTTTAATTATTCTTTTGAATTTTCAGTTTTCTTCTTTGAATTACTTTTTAGTGGTTGCACTAGGTATTACAGTATAATCCTCAATATATATGTAATGTTGTACCACTGCTTTTAAAATGTAGGAATTTATGCTAGTAAAATCACATTTACCTCCTCTTAACCTTCATGCTGTCATTGAAATATATATATTTACAAAAAATTCCATAAGAAATTTATATTATTTTGTTTTAAATAATCAACTGTTTTTTAAAAATATAAGGTAAAAATAGTATTTCATAATTGAATACATGCACACACACACACACACACACACACCCCATTTGCAAGGAACTCTGGTGGCACAGTAGTTAAGGCATTTGGCTGCTAGCCAGAAATTCAGCTGTACAAACCCACCAGCCACTCTGTGGAAGGGAAATGAAGCAATCTACTTTGGTAAAAATTTATAACCTCAGAAAGCCAATGGGCTTCACTATGAGTTCGTTTCTACTCATTGTTAGTAAGTTTGGTTTGGCTTTGGTATACCATTTGTAATGCTTTCATGCATTCCTAAAGGTTCAAGATTCCATCTGCTATTTCTTTTGCTTTGGTACTTCTTGTGTGCATGTTTTACTCAGCTTTAAATTGTATGGTAATGTCTTTATTTCATTTGCAGCTTAAAAATAAATATTCCCTGCATATGGAAGTACGGGTTCTTTTAGTCTTCTGGCTTCCTTTGTTTCTGATGAGAAGCCTGTCTTCATTCAGAATGTTGTTGCAGTGTATGAACTCTTTCTCCTGATCCCTGTGTTTCCTTTTATGATTTTATCTTTTGTTTTCAGATTTTGAGTATAATTAACCTAGTATGGTGGTCTTTGCATTTATTCCATTTGCAGTTTGGTGGAATTCTTTCCTCTGTAATTTTATTTTTCAACCAAATTTGAGAAATTTTCTGATCCACTATTTCTTCAGATAATTTTCCTCCCTCTCCTCATCTTCTAACATTCAAATTGCTCTTACATGAGGCTCCTGAATATTGTCTCACAGCACTCTGAAGCCCTGTTTAAATTTATAAAATCTCTTTATTTTGTTGTCTTCAATATGGATAATTTCTATTATTTTGTTTTCAAGTTCACTTTTTTTTCTGTCATCTCATATCTGTTTTTAAGCACATCTAGTGTCTTTTTAATTTCAGAAGTTATATTTTCATTCCTCGAATTTACATTTTTATTACTTCTTTTTCATTGTTTCTAATTTATGCTAAGATTCTTTATTGTATACTCCTTGTGACCATTTTTTACTCTATCTCCTTGAACCTAATTTTAATAGCCACTTTAAAGCCCTATGTTCATTTTCACATCTGGATTATCTCAGAGTCTCTTTTTACTTATCATTTTCTTTTTCCTTCTGTGAAGGGTAAAACATTCCTCAATATTTATTTATTTATTTTGTATTTTGTATTACATGATGAACACTGTAGATGACACATTGTGGATTCTATTAACTTGTTTACCAAGTATACAGTTTTCCTGGCACTCAGGTATGAATCTTTTGGTCACGTCAACCTTGTTTGTTTGTTTGTTTGTTTTAATGCTAGGTCTATTTTGGCAGGTGTGATACTTACTTTAGAACATGATTTTTACTTTTAAGGGATGGCATTCTGGGATCTCAACTGAATGTCTCAAGTTCTCAGCTCTGTCTTCTCTCTGCCTGAGCTGAAATTTCTGTACTACACATCTTCTATTTGTATATGGTGAACACAATTGCTATTCAGCTCTCAACCTGAAGAAGACAACATCTTTTAAGCCTTGCAAACATAATCCAATACTTAGTCAAGCACCAGCAGTAAATCCTCGTGTAACTTCAGCCTCCCACCCATTGTCTAGCTTCCTCTTCTCTAGCACCCTACCAGGCAAATTTCAGTTGCTTGGAACTCCAATCTCTGCCTTTTCAGTTTAGTGAAACCATTGTCTAGATTGTATTTCACCACCCTGCACAGCAATAGGAAGTGCCTGTAGGCAGAAAAGTAGGATGAGCACAAAGTCAAATTTGTGTGTTTTTTGCTGGAAAATCAAGGTCCTATAATGCCTGCCATTTAATGCCTGACATCAGTTGCTTCATATATTTTGTCCACTTATATAACTATTTTCAGTGGTGAACAAGTGTCATACTTCCTACCTAAAATTCATTTAATGATTTTTCAAGACTTTTAATTTGGATCAGTTGAGATGCTACCTTCTCTGTGAATGTCTCAGGCAGAATTTAGGTGTATGCCTATGCACTCACTCAATCTATAATTTTATTGTGCTGTCAGCATTTGTTTACAGGTTTACAGTTGTGTTCACTATATACAAATAGAAGATGTGTAGAACAGAAATTTCAGCTCAGGCAGAGAGAAGACTGAGGTGAGAACTTGAGATATTCAGTTGAGATCCCAGAACACCATTCCTTAAGAGTAAAAACTTGTTTACAGTTAACTTTTGCCAAAATCAGGTGTATCTTTTTTCTTAGCATACGTTCTGTCTACCACATCACATGCACATCTCAAGGACTTGATAGATAGTTGTTGAACAAATTAAGAATCCTTCTGGCACGGTCTTGAAATTGCAGCTGTGATAAGCTAGTTTTTTCTTTTTATTATTTACTTCCTGCTTCACTTATGTCTAGACTCAGTATAAGCAGAGAAGTCTTCAAATATTATTCAGGGAATTTTATGGTTACTGAAATGATTGGAAATTGCTAATGAAACATTAGGATAAGTTGTTCAAATGATTACTTAATTTCCATCTCTGAGGATGATTCCTAATAGAAGTTGCCCATCATCAGTGTAATTTAGAAGCTTCTGGGTAAAACAACATTCTTCCTACTAATAATACTATGAAGTTTTAAATCACAACAGTGTTGACAAAAAAAAAAAAAGTAATGAAATGCATGAATATTTGTGTGTGTGCATAACAAAATAGAATAGAAAAATGTTATCAGCTAAACTTCTAACTTTGATATTTTAATCCAATATTGATGTATGTACTTTAATATTTTTTTTGGATTAAACTGTAACTTAAAAATGATGTTTAAAAAAATAGTGTACCTTTCTTTAGGGTAAAAAAAAAACACATCAGTTCAAGTTGATGCACTTTGTAAATAATAAACGACTTTTTCAAAAATTGTATTAATAGATTTTTCTGTTTACGATTATTTATGCTCATTGCCATGTTTATCTAATACATTATTGAATGATTCTTTTAAGTTCATATTTTTAACTAGATATACATAATACATACCTCTATGTTATTTGGCCATTTGCTTTCCCAACTCCTGGGCAGAAAAGAATCTTTTGAGAGAGCCATAGAAGATTCTGTTGTGGTCATATTTTCAGTCTTTTTATCTTTTTCTTTTGCCATAAAGTCAGTTGAGAAGTATGGATACATGGGAAGGATGCTACTTTCAAATCCTATATGGTAGTTATGATTTTCATTTTCCAATTCTCTCCATGAATTAATTTTATCCAAACTAGTGAGTGATGAAGCTGAACTACTGAATCTGGAATCATTAGCACCATCGTATTTTTCTACAGGGTTTCCCTGAGGACATGCTTTATTTATGTTTTGAGGTTTTGGTAGCATAGAAGGTTTAAAACCAATTATTGGTGTTTTCCTATCTTGCTGCCAGGAGAGTTCATGGCTTTTCAAGGTAATTTCATTCAAAGGTATTTGGTATGTTTCATCTAATGGATGTATTTCTGACTGCAAGTTTGGTACACTGGGCAAGAGAAAGGTATTTTCTTTAATGTCGCTCTGATAGAGTGGACTTTTATTACTGAGCTCATCTACTACTGGATCAAAACCCAGACTGACTTGGCTAGGGGAAATGGGTTGATTTACAGAGTGAAAGTCTTGGTGTTCATACTGCTCTTCATGTGATTTATTGGGATTTTGATCCCTTTGCCAACAATGTGCCATACTTTTCTATGTAACTGAGAGGGTTGACTCTGCTCCAAATATTTCCTTGATGATATTATCAAAGAGGAAAGGAACTTTCCTAGAAAAAACATAAAAGGAAACAAAAATTTATTTTATTAATTATAAATAAAAGAGCTTGCAAGAAAGAAATACGACAAATAAATGTAAATAATTGTTTTGAAATTTCTTAGCAAGTGAAATAATTCCTTATGTATTATATAACTCCACCAATGCTCATATCATGTAATATTTACTTTGGATAAGTTCATAAAACTACTGATAGAAAGGTCAGTCCACTCCAATTACCACAGGAGTTTCACAAATATATTCAAAGCCAATATTCCCCTTAGATTCCTATTTTTGTTGAATATCTACTTGCCTATAGCAACAGTATCTCCCTTCATATATAGTCATCTACGATCATTTGAATATGTTCAAATTTTTTTTTTTTTTAATTAGCTAAATAGTCTTGTTTCAATCATCGATAATTCTACCCCTAGAAATAGCCTATCTTAAAATGGTTGGCTATATCCTTTCCTCTCCACCCCAAAATTCATTAAACAATAAACTTCTTTCAACCCCCACTCCTCCACTCGTTTATGTCACTTTCACTGAGTTCACCAATGACATTCATATCCATAAATTGTACTGGCATTTTCCAGTCTCTATTTTAACTTATCTCTCTATAGCATTTGATTCTTTGATCAAGCATGTTTCTTTCTTCTTTTTTTTCTTTGTTTTTTTGTTTGTAAACTACTTTCTTATTTTGGATCTTCATGACACTCTGAGTCAAGGACTCTCTGAGTCCTTTGGTTGCTTTTTATTTAAGACTCCTTTGATAATTATTACTTTTCAATCTGTCCCTTAAATGTTGGAATGTTGGAGATTATCAGAGTTTATGCTTTGATTTTTTTTCTGTCATAAGTTTTCTGTTCAAACGTTACTTCATATATTCTGTAGTTTCAATTACCATGTATATGTCATCCAGCCCAGAGTACCTTGTTACCTACCAAAATATATCCATCTGGATTTTTTTTTTTAACTAACTTTAAGTCCAAAATTCATCTCACAATACACATGAATTTTCTCATTTTCTGTCGTTTCCTGTGCCAGAAAATGACTCAGCCATTTACTTAGTTGCTGAGACCAGAAGCAAAGGTTTTATCTGTAAGTCCTCCCACTTCTTTATTCTTTATTAACCAAAAGACTACCAGACATCGTAGGGTATATTGCATACATATATCTGGAATCTAACTTCTTTTATCTGTGTACCACTGCCAAAACCCTAATTAAAAGCTTTCATCATCTTTCCTCGAATGCTGTACTGTCTCTGAAACTGATCTGAATTTTTTTGTAATTCATTCTTCTGGCTTTATACTCTACTTTTCTACGTTTAAGTTACTAACCAAGAAATCCCTGGTTACTTGCTTTTTCATGTTTTTCTACTGCCTTAACAATATGCCAATACTACTAAAGATCTTTTAAGATTCAGAACTATTTAAATAAATGACATAGATTTGTTATATATTATATATTCAGTCAATATACTGAGTTGATGGATTTGGGAAAATTGTCAAAAGATTTAAGCAAAACATATATAAAATAAAATGTTATTTATTTTATAACAACAAAAAGATTCATCTATAAAATAGTATTCAATATTATTCTTATAATTCATGGGCCACATAGATAGATTATTTGGGCATAATACTTTTTTCAGGAATAGTTATTTTTCTTATCTCCATGCTTATAGTGAAAGTTTATGTCATTAAGGAAAATTCTACTCTTTCATTGGTCTTGAAACTTGCAACGGAGAATGTGTTAGCACATCTGACTTTAGCCCTGAGGAGTAGACCTAATATTCTCATATAAGGCCTGTTTCTGCTTTGGTTAACATAGTAAGTAGATGTATATTAAAGTGACATTTACAGTTGTGTTAGTTTCAAAAGATCTTGAATGCTGATGTTTTAAAAATTATTTTAAAATTTTGTACTCATAAAGGTGTTATGAATACTGTATCAGCAGGTGTGACTCTGAAGTTAAAGTTCCTTTAAATTGTATCACTTTTTTAAATTATTTTTATTGTGATTTGGGTGAAAGTTTACAAAGGAAATTCACTTTCCATACAGCAGATCACATATACTTTGTCTCATGACACAGACTGCAATTTCCCACAATGCAACAGCTCCCCTCCCACTTCCTCCCAATAGTTACTTCTTCCCTGTGTCCTTCCCTCCCATGCACTCCTGCCCCCCAAGCTGTCTCCCTGTGGATACACAGCCCCTCTATTTTCCCATGATTGATCTCTCCAAGGAGTGTATCTACCTAATGTAAAAGTTCAGCTCATATGCCTGTCTTTTCTTTGGCTGGAAGCCACAATTCCAGACTTGAAGGGCAGCTAGGGGCCATAGTCTCAATGGTTCCTACAGGCTCTATCAGATGACCAGCAAACTCGGTCTCTTTTTTATGTGTGTGATTTTGTTCCACATTGTTCTCACACTCTATCCAGGATTTCCTACATAGATCCTCCTCCAAGTGGTTGACAGGGTGTTAGCTGGGCACCATCTAGTTCTTCTGGTCTCATAGTCATATGAGCTGAGGATCACATGGTGTACCAGTCACTTGGACTAATTATTTCTATGTATATTTGGTTTTCGTCATTCTTCTTTGTCCTGGATGAAGGGATACCCATCATTGCATCTAGATGGCTACTTGAAAACTTTTAAGATCACAGTCGCTACTTGCCAAATTAGGATGTGGAAAATGTTTTTTGTGTAGTATGTTATGCCAATTGAGGGTGAAGTCCACTGCAACTATGGTTCTGAGCACACAAGTCCAACTACTCGCTCCCTCTGGTTAGCTAGCTGTGGCCAAGAAGTGAGTACAACCATGGCCCTTGTCAACTCTACTATATACCTGGGAACTCTTACAGAACATACAAATACAGTTGTAGAAACATTGTCTGCCAACCCTATACACTGTCACGGGCACACTCCTCTCTGCATAGATATACCTAAAAGTTTACCCTGTCCACCTATCTATCCATCCGTAGATCAATGTTTGCCATCACTGACAATGCAGTACTGTGTGTGCAATAAGGTTCATCTTTATTGTCTGCACTTCCCATGTACCTTTCTATGTCTTCCTCTTCCTCAATGCCACCATGTTGATCACTCACATTTGGTACATTTCCCTTCTCTTCATCCAAATCAATACTTGTCTCTACCTATCTAGCAGATCACCCTCTCCCCCACCCCATCCTGGTAACCAACAAAGAAAATTTCCTTCTATATATAAACCTTTTCTTGACTTTTTACAATAATGGACTAATACAATATTTGTCCTTCTGTGATTGACTTATTTCACTCAGCAGAATGTCCTCCAAGTTCATCCATGTTATGCGGTGTTTTGCAGATCCTCTGTTATTTTTTTAGGGTGGCATAGTATTCCATTGTGTGTCTGTACCATAGTTTTGTTATCCATTTTCTGTGGATGGGTACCTAGGCTTTTTCCATCTTTTGGCTATTGTAAATAGTGCTGTGTTGAACATGGGTGTGCATATATATCTTCTTGTCCTGAGTCTCACTTCTTTAGGATATATACCTAGTGATGGAATGGCTGGGTCAAATGGTATTTCTAATTCCAACTTTTTAAGGAATTGTCACACTGCTTTCCACAGTGGTTGTATCATTTTACAGTCCCACCAACAGTGTATGAGAGTCCCCATCTCTCCACATCCTTGCCAGCATTTGTTATTTTCTGTCTTGTGAACTTGCTACTAGTGCTGGTACAATATGGCATCTCATTGTTGTTTTGATTTGCCTCTCTCTAATGGCTAATGATCATGGGTTCTTCATATGTTTGTTGGCTGACTGGATAACTTCTTTGGTGAAATGTGTATTCATGTCTTCTTCCCATTTTTAAATTGGATTATTTGCCTTTTTGTTGTTGAGGTGTTGGAGTTTTCTATAAATTCTAGAGATAAGTCCCTTGTCAGATGTGTCATTGATAAATAATTTCTTTCCAATCTGTAAGTTGTCTTTTGACTCTTTTGGAGAAATCTTTGGAAGCACATAAAAATTTAATTTTGAGATGGTCCCATTCGTCTAGTTTATCTTCTGCTGTTTGTGCATTTTGGGTTATGCTTGATAGTCTTTTTATGCCATATATTAAGGACTCTAAATTTGCCCCTAGTTTTTCCTTGAGGAACGTTATAAATTGTATTGCTTTTTTATTGGTAGTAATAATAGTGATGATACCTAAAGGAAGGTTGAGCAATCTACTTCCATAGTGATACCACCTTGGAAACCCAAGGAGGGGTCACCATGAGTTGGGTCTGAATCGATGGCACATAACAACAACAACAACAACTCTGTGCTCCTGTGGTATATACTTTCCATATATTAACATATTTAATCCTCACCACAACCTACGAGATTCCTAACATTATTATCAACATTTAACATATGAGGGAACTGAGGGACAGAAAGGTCAATCAGCTTGCACAAAGTCTCAAAGTTTGTGTTCAAAGAAGTAACCAAGGATTTAAGGGAAGCAGATGGGTGAACATGCCACATTAATATATGAAATCCAGACTATGCCTGGGTTTAAGCACTGTAGCACAGTGCTAACTCAAACTATTACTATTGAAATAGGCTGAAAAGTTTTTGTTTGTATTAATAACATTATTTTTCATGCATTTCTTATAGCACTAATACTTGAAATGGTTTTACAGGTCATGTCTGAAAAATCTCATTATCACAAGATAAAGGAGAATGAGAAATACTTATTCATATTGAAAATGTAATAAAAATAAGATCTCTTCCAGATCCACTTTTCAATATTAAATGTGATGATTTAAAGGAATTTCTAATCATTGTAATTCTCTTTCACATCATAATCTGGGAACTAGAATATTTCTTATTTAAACACAGACACACTCAAAAACATTACTTAATTTCTCCTGGTAAATATCTATATTCTGAATTATAAAGTAATAC